AGCATTTAGACTGCTATTTTGGCAGCTTGTATTTATTCTCAACAGTCCTCGCGTATTATCAAAAGGAATAATTTTTTGACTTACTGCATCGATCGCTTTTTCTGTGAAAATTTTCTGGCTTTGTAACTACCAAAAAAACAAAAAAAACATATGCTTTGGTGCGACAACGTGAAAAATGTGTCTTCACGCTGAAAAGTAATCACTTTAACATTTATTTTTTAAAACATATGAATGTTATTTATTTTTTTTTGGTTGGATTTTTAAAAAATTATTTAATAAGTATTAAATGATAAATAATATAGAGTGGCATTTTGGAAAGTTAATAAAAAACTAACTTTTTAATTTTTTTTTGTGACTTTTTAACTTTTTGTATTAAAAAATTAAATTATTATTTTTTTATGACTAAAATAACTAAAAAATCAAAAAAATTGACTTTTTACTATATACCCAAAACACCCCAGAGTAATATTCGTTAATAGCTCACAATTTGTTGTAATTATTGTCTTTAGTACTAATCGTGCCTTGAGTTACATTTCAATGGAGTCTTTTGTACATTATTATTATTTTTATTTTTTTTTGGAGTGGGGCTATCATCATCATTTAAATTAGTTTATATTCAACCAAGATTGAGGTGAATACAAATTCAGCCTGGTTTTACTTAGATAATGCAACTGAGATAAGATTAAAGTAAACACAATTTCTCTTGATTGTATTTATACTATATGTATCCAACCAAATAGTCAGAATTAAACCAAGTTGGAATTCTAAGGCACACATTAGTCACTCTCAGACTCAATCTTGTACAGATTGAAATGGGTAATTAACTTATGATCAGACTTTTGACTGAAAAAATTATTAAAATGATGTAAGCCTTGACTTGATATTGTTATTTCCAAGCCCCTATCTTCCTATTTTAACAAGTGGGCCCAGCTCAGTATTAATAAATTTAGAGAAACTTAGATAAAGTTTCATGTTGGGCTCATAACAGTTTTCTCGCCGCACCCATACTACGTGAATTTAACAAATCGGACATAGAATATTTAGATGTACAAAAAAAAAATATGTGCATTTTGTTTTATATTTGTGCATTCTACATTTTGTATGCAATTAAATAAACACACAAATTTATTACAAAATTGGACACATAATATATATTAGATGGATTAAAATTTTTCAAAAGTATCTCACTAATAAATTTTGTAAAATCTTATTCATATATTTATTATGTGTCTAAAATGTAATCAATTTTAGTGTTACTAGCAAAACTATATGCAACTTTGTGACCATTTGTGTAGAAATTATTTGATGTTCTAAGATGCTTTAAAGTGGCATGTACTCACTTTTATTACTACTAGAACCTAACCTTTGAAACCAAATTTCAATATGAAGAGTAATTTACAAATAATATTATTCATTTAAAATGATGTGATTGTGGTGTTTTTAAAATTATGAATTAAGCTAATAGAAATTTAAATTTGAAATGAAAGATCCATAAAAAGTCACACCGTTTCATATAAAGAATTTGTCAAAAATTATATTTGTGTCATTACTCCTTCAAACTAGTAGTGACAAATTGATCACACGTATACATGCCATTTAACGGGTATATGATCACACTAAGACTATGGTCCCGTTTATTTTCAGAGGTAGAATGGAGGGAATTCATATTGAGGGGATTAACTAAATTGTGTTTGTTTTGATGATAGTTGTTAGTGTAGGAATTGTTAAATTATTTGTATATAAACTAATAAAACAAATAAAAATATATAAAAAATTAAGCATTAATATTTTAAAAAAAAATCTCAATATATAAAAAATAAAAAAAATAAAAATATTTCTAATCCCTTCACTATTTTTCTAATATCATCTCCACATCCTCCATCTCAATCCCCCTTACAACCTCCATCTATATCACCTCCACCATCCTAATCCCTTCCCAAACTCTACAAACAAACACAACACTCAATAACCCCACCTCCAGCCTAATCCCCTCCTATCTATTTAACCCCAAAACAAACGGGGCCTAAGAGACTGCCATGTGGTGCAGTATTTTATTCATTTATTACTAAACTTCATCTGTTAACATACAAGAATTATAATGGTCCTTACCTTCCATTTCAAAAGAGATATGAATACATCACTCGATAATACAACTTCTTCTTCTCATGTTCGTCTTTTACCAATTACTTTTTTAAAAATATATAAATATAGAATGATAAAACAAGTCTTAATACTATCATTTTTAATAAATAATCAAATAATTTAAAATTTTAAAAATATGGTTATCATATCATTTTGATCATACATAGAGTTAGATTATAAGTCCTTGTCCTATTATATAGATTACACACTCAATAATTCATTTTCGTTTTTATGATAGATTATGATTGATAAGCCTTGGCATTTGTTGCATATTTATTTCATGCATTTATTATGAAACTTCATTGTCATCTAAACTTCAAATCAAAATTAATAAAAGGTTAATTTTGTTGCGTCATAGCATATAATATGTAGGGGTTGATGAGGTTGAAAATGTAAGAAAACAACAAAGATTAGGCAATGATTTAATATACTTTCAGAAAACAACCGGTGGTGTTTAAGAAATAAAGAAAATAATGTTCATACAATGTTTATTCAAAAATTTTGACAAAAATAACATGAGAGTGACATATTTTAAGATTTAAGTTACTTTAATAAAGTTTATTTTTAAATGATTAAGTGAAGACTTGTCACATTCACATTCACATTTCTTGAAATTTAAAAAAAAAATGCAATTAATTTTATACTTTTTGACATAATTACATTAGTCTATTTTAAAATTTTAAATAATATAATACTTAGATTATTTTTATCAGTTATTCTTTAGTGGTATAATTTGAAAGATGAATTTTCATGTCTCATATACTAAAATATATTTATTGTTATTATTATATTATTTATTTAAGCATCTACAAATAGTTTGTATTAATTTTGATCATTTTAATATTATTGAAAGGAAAATCATTGTAATAATACTAAACTTATGAGACTAAATTTTTTCCCCCCCAAATTTCAAGAGAAGTGAGTGTAATTTACTCTTATTATTATAATATATTGGGGTAATTTATAAGAGGAATTACACATCAGTGGGCATCAGAAAAAATATTTACAAAAAAGTAATAACATTATAAAAATTAATAATTAAAATTATGAACTTTTTCACTTTTGTATGAATATTTTTTTTTTGGGATCCCTACTGATGTGTAATTCCCCCTAAATTATACCTACCTTCTCTAAATTTGAAGAAAATACGATTAACCTATTAATTTTGACATAATTACAACAACTTGTGAGAAGTTGATAAAAGGTTTATTTTTTTACTTTTTTAGCTTATTCTGTCTTTTTGTGAGTAAGTTATGTGAGAGATGATGTGACTCAAAATGGATAAAAAACTGGAAGTTGGCTTTTTACTAGCTTCCAAAAGACTCCATAATGCTTGGGTCTATTTATTTGTGTGTACTTCCCATTTGCATTAATTTGATAGTTGAAATCTTACTAAAAGAAAAGTCATTATAATTATATTAAATTTGTAAGATTAATTGTATTTTTATGAAAACTCATGAAAAGTGGGTGTAATTAACCTTATTATGTGTTATGTTATGAGTTCCAAAAATTGAGGACCGTTGGAGTCACACGGTTGTATGTGAACGTGACATTCAAAATTATTATTTTGTTTTTGGAAAGTAATCATATTATTCTTTCTTTTGATTGGGTTGCGTGACATGTTTGGTATCAAATTGTTTTCAAAAGTAGTTTTTTTTTAGATTGGTGTTTTCAAAAGTAGTTGAACCACCCCAGAAGGGTTGATCACAGGGTGGTTCATTAAAAAAATATACCTTTCTGGGTTGGCTCTTTGTCCTCCTAACCCGGCCGACCTTGTTGACTTCGGCGTAACTTGTTTGGGCCACACCCCATTTCAGTCCCTACAAAGTTATATATTTTGAGCCTGATAATTATTTTGTGGGCCCAATCAACCGATTTTGCTGCTAAGAATCTCAAACCCTTTTGGAGTCTATATGGCTCATAGAATTTAATAGAGTAGTTTGAATTCTTTGTAGTGTTTATAATGAGCAATATTAGGCATATAAAATTTGTACCATACATTGCCATGGATGTAGTAGAAAATTTGATCTCTCTAATATTTTTGGTTTATGTTTCCACCATTATAGAGGTTATATGTAACTAGTGGGTCGTTATTGGGTTTAGGCTTGGTGATTGTCAACTATTGTTGGACTAGTAGTCGTTTGATATAATAATTCTCATATTTGTAATACTCTCTTACTGAAGAAAAAAAAAATAAATAAATAAAATCTTCCAAAGATGAAATTAGCATTTTCATTAGGGAGTTAAAATTGTTAATTCAATTATATGGATTGGAAGTAAAATGACTATTTGATCCTTTACTTTATAGAAATAATAAAGACACATTTTATATAATGAGAGTTTTTACATAACTTCATAAGTTTTTATATCATCACATTAGTGTACACATAAATACAATTTATCTTATTTTCTTATATTCTTAACCTATACCACCAAATTAGTAATTATATATTTATGTCACTCATTAGTAATTATAACTACATTCAATTTAATCCGACAATCAAAAAACGATTTGATTCTCTCTAGGCACGGCATTCTTAATTGTTGAATAATCTCTATTCTTCTTCATCACATGATGAAAATTTTTTTGTTTTTGCATTGGACACCATATGGGAAAAACCAATTACATAAAACATAAACCAATTGTATAGGGATGGACATTGATCTGATCGGGTCGGCTAAGTTTGGATCGAACTTATACTATAGAGTAAAGAACATATGACTTGTTCCAAGTCTGATCTAGCCTAACATGGTATAAAATAATATATATAGTTTATCTTTTTATTTTTTTAATTTATTATGTAACTAAAATATATAAAGTTTTAAAATAATATTTTATAGATGGATTGATTGGGCCAAACCGGGCTAGAATTCCTATCGTATGGCCAATCCAAAATATAACCGAGTTAAAAAATCTTAGCCCAACCCAATCCTATGAGTGAAAATACCTATTCCAAGTATTAAAAATGTCGGACTAGACTGGGCTGGTAGGTTGGGCAGGCCATCGGGGCAGTTCTTAGGTTAATACCTGGTTAGGCATGGAGCATGCACCTCCTTCGGCCGGGTTTTTTAAGACCAGCTTTTTGGCAATTTCAGCACAAAAAACAAAAAATTGAAGCTCCATTTGACAGCAAAAGATGTCTAATTATTAGTTCATTCATTCATTTCAGGATTGCAAAACAGTTCTAACAAATCTAAACAAACTATCAAGATTGTTGGCATTACAGTCAGTGTTGGTGTTCTGCTACTTGGTTTAAGTCTATTTTTTGTATGGTGGAGAAGAAGGAAAACACAAAGACAACTGAAAGAAAAGACACAGCATAGAGGTACTTATGAACTTGCAAATCTTTTTTAATTTATTTTAAAAATTGAGCATGATTTTGCAGTATTCTATTTCTCTTACATTGTACCTATTATTTTAAAAAACCAGGTGCTCATGAAAAAAGTCAAGATATTTTGCTAAATGAAGGGATTATTATGAGAAACAGAGATTATTCATGTGAAAGTACAACAGATGAATTAGAATTACCATTATTCGACTTCGGTACCATGGCAATGGCTACAAACAATTTCTGTGAGGAAAATAAACTGGGACAAGGTGGTTTTGGCATTGTTTACAAAGTAAGTTTTTTATTTATTTATTTTTTATTTTTTACTTTTTTAACACGTTCACATTATTATTATATAAAATCACAAGGGTACCGCAAAAAGATGCTTATGAAAAATGTTTTGGATGGAAATATTAGGGTATGTTGATGGAAGGTCAAGACATTGCAGTGAAGAGGCTGTCAAGGAATTCAGGGCAAGGAGTAGAAGAATTTAAGAACGAGGTTAGGCTGATTGCAAGGCTTCAACACAGAAACCTTGTTCGTCTCCTCGGTTGCTGCATTGAGATGGAAGAAAAAATGCTGATATATGAATACATGGAAAATAGAAGCTTGGACTCCATTTTATTCAGTTAGTTCCTCTCACTATTTCATATACATACATGGTTAATTGAATTGCGTTATGCTAAGTGATAGTTTGTACAATACTACCACGTGCACAGAAAAATTAATGTGCAGTCAAAATGGATCTATAGCACACATTGATTTGTTTTGTTTTATTAGCCATTATTGTAGTTTATATTCATGGCATCTGAATTAAAAAAATCTTTTTTTGTAGATAAAGAGAGATGCTCAATATTGAATTGGCAAAGGCGCTTCAACATCATTTGTGGAATTGCTCGGGGGCTTCTTTATCTTCACCAAGATTCGAGATTTAGAATTATCCATAGGGATCTCAAAGCAAGTAACATATTACTCGATAGAGAAATGAATCCAAAGATATCAGACTTTGGCATGGCAAGAATTTTTGGAGGAGATCAGACTGAGGCAAACACAAGGAGAATAGTTGGAACATAGTAAGTGACCACAATTAAGAACATCTTTCTACTTCTTGTGCATTCTATCCATTAGGAATGTATGATCATATTGCTAATACCATTTGGGGATGTCGTGTAGTGGTTATATGTCTCCTGAATATGCAATGGATGGCCTTTTCTCGATAAAATCAGATGTCTTTAGTTTTGGCGTGTTAGTGTTGGAGATAATAAGTGGTAAGAAGAACAGAGGATTTTATAATGCCAACCAAGAGCTTAACCTTCTTGGACATGTAAGTGTGGAAAACTCTCAAAATGTTTCCCAAGCAATTGTTTTATGTATCTAGTAGTAACAACTTCAATTTTTTATAGTAATACTAACTGAGAAATTGTACTGAAATGTAGGCATGGAAGTTGTGGAGAGAGAGAAAGGTGTTGGAAATAATGGACACTTCTGTTGGAGAATCGAATGCGACATGTGAGGTAATGCGATGCATTCATGTTGGCCTCTTGTGCGTCCAAGAGCGAGCAGAAGATAGGCCGTCCATGGCATCTGTCGTTCTCATGTTGAGCAGTGAAACTGCATCAATGTCGCAACCTAAGCATCCTGGGTTTTGTCTAGGAAGGCAACGTGTTGAAACCGATTCATTGTCAAGCAAGCAAGATGAATCATGCACCTTGAACAATGTCACCGTTACAATACTAGATGGCCGGTAATCGGAGGTCTGACCTTCTCCAGCATAATTGCATATCTCAAGATTTTTTATTTTTTTAATTTATAAGTCCTTTGTTTTTTTGCCATTTTTGTGAAAGGTTTAAGAGGGAATAGTTGTTCTTTTGTGTAAGGGAGATGTATAATATGTTGATTTATATGATTCAGTTAATACAAGTTCAATATTTTTAGGTTAGGTTACAAAAATAAGATTAACTATTTGTCTTTTAGAGATAATTTGTAACTATGTGAAGCAAGAAAAATGAATTATGAACAATTTTTTTTTTATTTTTTATTTTTCATACAAATGACATGACAATGACATTTTTCAAATTATACAATGGGTATTTAGACTTTACATAAAAAAAAACACTCACAAAAAAATTAGGACATTAGATATAAAATTTGTACAAATAATATGTATGCATATCAGAATTCAGGACAATATTTGATGTGGCATACCAATGAAAATTAAAGCAATCATTTATTAGATTTTAATGTGTTTGTGAAAGAAATGATCACAGGCCTGAAACACCTGTGGTCATATATCTAACCATATTCGTGATCTGCCAAGAATTATTTCTATTTTTCAAGCCATGTAATCATATAATCCCTTATTATCTGATGCAGACATAATCATATTTTAAGAAGATAAAGATAATTACTCATTTGTGGGCATTAGAATTTCACTATGCAAGATGTCCATTAGCTAATCCCAACCAACCACACTGGTTCATGGAAGAATCTAGCCAGAGCGAACTTGAATTTTTGGATTTTAGTTGAAGAATCTAGTCAGAGTGAACTTGGATTTTTGAATTTTAGGTGAACTCCAAAAATGAAACTTCCATATATATGTAAGAAAATATTATGGGTAAAATAGCAAGTATCTACAAATTTATTTGTTTGCTAGAAATCACAAGAAAAAATTTACATATATAATCATTATAATTATATATTAAAATTTACTTTCATTGATTAAGATATAAAGAAATTATTATAAGAACTTAACTATTATACAAAATATGCTAGTTACAGTTGCCTTCGAAGAAAGAATTTTTCAATACACTCCCTTCTTAGACAAAAGAATTTTTAAACTAATTAATTATTTTTAACTATCTTAGCTAAACTTAATTTTCAAACTACTAATACTATAAAACTTAAATTTATTTGGACATCTTATATTTTACATAAAATTCTATCTAGGCCTGACATGAATGTGGCCCAGAGATGTGTTATTAGGCTTTTACTGAAATAGTTGAGGATCTGAAATGGGTTGGTACAAAGTCTACTATGGTGGGCCGAGATGTCCAAAAACTTGAGAGGGTGTTTCTACAGAGAGATAAAGGAAAGGGTTTTTTACTGGCCGGTCCTACCGTTTACACTTATTCCCCTCTTAGTCCTGAGTTTTGCTCTTGTGCACCAGCAGGTCCTCAGCCTTTTTTTTTTGATACCGTTTTACCCCTCCCCTGTTTTGGCGCGTTTCTGTTTGGATTTTCCATCAAAATATTGTGTTGTAAGTATGGGTTTGTGATTTGGATTTCTGTGGAACTTCACGATTTGTTACTGTATTATTGTGGAGCTTTGTGATTTCTGATTTCGCGTTTGGTGTGTCTTCGCGATTTATGATTTGCGATTACGTGCTTGGTGAATCTTCCTATTTGCGATTTCGCGTTTGGTGTATAGTTACATTTTCTGATTTGCGATGTTGTGGAGTTAGGTCGACTGGTATGTTTGATTTTGATTTCAATTTCAATGTTTTGGTTCTTTTTAGTTTGAGTTGGTGATTTTGATTTGTGGTGATATTGTTGTTACTCTGCTGTTTCTGTTGCGATTGAATTTGTGTTTTGATTATGATATTGAAAGTTTTGAGATATGTATATGTAAAGAATTTTAAATTTTTCTTTTTTTTTTGTTACGAAATTGTTTTGATTAAACATAGGTGCTGGTTTGTTATTTTATACAGTGATAATTTTATCACTGAGTATTTTGGGGGTGTTGTTGGATTAACTTTTTCAACAGTGATAAATCTATGTGTGAGTATGGGAATAGGAGATGAAAATGTTGCATAATATAATGGTAAGATTCAAATCGAGTTACCATGTCTAATAAGTGTAAGCCTTATTCACTGTTCTTGGTCTTTGGTGGTGTTAACTGTTAAAGTTATTAGTGTTGGTTTTTTGATGTGTTTGAATTGATTAATGATTTTATCACTGTATTTGATTTTGTTTTAGGGGTGTTTGAGTTGTTAGCTGAAATATAATTGTTGTTTGTTGTAGGATTTATAGTGATAGAGAATTTTTTGTTTCTTTTGTGCAAGTTTAGAGATGTAACATTGGTTATCAAGTATAATGATGAATTTAATTTCAAGGATTTAGTATATAAATTGTGTGCAAAGTGGAGTGAGTTAGTTGGTAGTTCTTTGAATATATCTTATTCAATGCCTGGACATTCTTGTTGTGGTCTACAAAGTGAAGAGGATTTGGAGGTTATGGTTGGACTGACACTTTCTTGTGATATTCATCGTATTGATGTTTTTGTAAAGTGTTGTTCTTTGGGTGAAGGTTATATGATTTGTGATGGTGAAGCTAATAGTAGTAGTAGTAGTAGTGTTGTTTGTGAAACTGATTTTTTGCCTTCATTTTATTCAAATCAACGGAAACCTTTGCTCTTCGATGGGTGGGTTAATTATATGAAAGGAGTGGGACAAAGGTTAGCTTAAGGAGTTGTTGAATTTCGAGATGAGTTGTCAAAGTATTCTATTCATTTCGGTTTTGATTTTGATTTTGTAAAGAATGATAAGGATTGTGTCACTGTTCATTGTAAGAGAAGGGCTGATTTGGGATGTTTATGGAGCGTGCATGCTAGAGTGGAAAATTATAGTAAAACTTTTGCTATTAAACAATTTGATGATGTTCATACTTGTGGATCTTCTTTTCGTACAATTAAACATGCTAGGATGACTTCAAGTATGATTGGTGGGCTAATTTCAAGTGATATTCATAATAAGGCTTTGACATCGGTTGGTGAGGTGGTTTGTGATTTCAAGGACTATTATGGAACAGAAGTTTCTTATCGGCGAGCTTGGATGGGTGTTGAAAAAGCAAGAGGTCTTATTTTTGGTGACTATTCATCATCATTTGACGACCTTCGTTGGTATGTTGATGCCGCTAATGATTGTAATCCAGGGAGTGTTTTGATATGGAATTTGATGTTGATAGTAAAGGAAGGCATTTCAAATGTTTGTTTTTCGCTTTTGAGGCATGTATTCATGATTTCAAGTATTGTCAACCTGTGTTGATACTTGATGGAATTTTGTTGAAAGGAAAACACAAAGGTTATTTATTAGCTGTTACGGCAAAAGATGGTAACCAAGGTATATTCTGTGTCTATTTTTTATTATTATTAAAACAGTGATAATTCTATCATTTTTGTTACTGGAGATTATTGAGTATGGTCAATCTATTAGTGATAAATTTATGATGTATACTTTTGTTAAATTTTTATATTTATACAGTGATAAATTTATCTATGGCTGGTGCTATATGTTATAAACTTTGTGTTTTGATTTTCTTTTTGTAATTTTTTTTATTTGTTATTGATAACGTGAATATATATTTTGTTTGTAGGTTTCTATCCGTTATGTTTTGTCAATGTTGATAGTGAAAGTTATGACAGTTGGCATTGGTTCTTGCCAAAGTTATTTGTTATTTTGACTCTGGGGAGGGATGTTGCGTTTGTTACTGATCGGCATGGTGGATTGCTGAAAGCTTTAGCTGTGGTCTTTCTGTTTTCTTCTCATTCTTTTTGTCTAATGCATTTGAAGACAAACTTGAAGACTTATTTGTTAGTGAAGAGTCGTAAATCTAAAGAGTTTTTGCTTACTCTTTTTAGTAGATGTGCATATGTTCCTACTATTGAGTTGTTTAATGAGCTATTTGCAGAATTTAAGGGTTGTTGTGGTCGTTGTGGTCGTAGTGTTAAGAAGTTTCTTGAGGATTTTCCTAATGAGTGTTGGTATAACGCTTATTTTCAAGGCAAGAGGTATGGTGAAATGTGCACAAATGCTGCAGAATCTTTTAATTCATGGATTAGGGATGAACGTCATTTGTTTTCAACTAGTCTTGTTGATGCTATACGGGTGAAACTAATGGAGCAATTTTCAAGAAGGAGAGAAGTTGGGAATAGTGGAATCATATTATTTGTCCTTTTGCAGAGAAAAAGTTGGAAGAAGCTTTTAATGATACAAAAGAATGGATAGTTAAGAAATGTAGCGATGATATTTATGAAATCCAATTGGATCATTCACTTATGGTTGATATTGGGAAACATTCTTGTTCTTGTCGATTGTGGGAAATTGATTCTTTCCCTTGCAAACATGGTTTTTATGCTATAAAGATGTGTGGAAAGGATCTGAATTGTTTTCTTGATGATTACTATCGTGTTAGTAGTTATTGTGATTCTTATTCACATTCTATCTGTGACAACCCTCACCTCTGATTAGTGTTAAACTGTGATTGAGCATGATAAGTAGTTAATTAGAATGAAATCCTAATCTGTTTGCATGAGTGTGTTGCTTTAAATGCATTTCTATCTGTTTGATTACTGAATGATCTATTCGTGTTTTTATTTTGAATTGCGAATTGAAAGTCTTATCGGTGACTGATTCAGAAATTGATTAGTATTTTATGCTAATTAGGATTTATGTGATTTTATGGTAGGTTTAATTAAAATTCAATTTGGAATGATTAAATTAGAATAAATAAAGTTAAATTACATTAGTTAGAGTTTATTACATTTTTGCCATTGAAGTGGGCCACTTTGTTAAAACTTTGTTTGGAGCTTAATTTACATTTTGACATACCATTCTTCATCCACCTTCAAGACCAAAACGAGAGAGAGAGAGAGAGTTGGAAGAAAATTTGAGTTCAACAAGAATTTTGTTTGAAAAGAAGAGGAATTGAAGAAGATTTGCAAAATTGAGCTAGCATACTTGAAATTCAAGACCTAAGGTAGGAAACTCACCCTCTTGAACTTGAATTTGAGTTATTTCTTGCATGGTTCATGGGAATATTGGAGATTAGAATCAAATTATAGCCTAAAAAGTTGAATTGAGTAGCAATGTGTGCATGCATGTCCATATCATTGAGTTTTGAGATCATTTACATGAGAATTTCCACATGCATGTCCATATTTTGGTTGTAGTCCATGAATTCACCATGTTTTAGAGTTCAATCTTGCATTTGACCATGTTTTGGAACATTGGAATCCATAGGAACTCATACATGTGATGTTCTTGCATTATTCTTCAAGTTTCATTCAAAATTGTGTTCAATTGTCTCACCTTTGGGCTTGATTTTACAAAATTGATCTTCAAAACGTATTGTAGTATGAGTTTTCAAGTGTTTTCTAGAAAATTGGCCCAAAAGGTTGAGTTTTGATAAGTTTAATTCTTGGTTTGAGCTTTGGGAGCAAATCTGGAAATTCCAGATTTTGGCTTCCACGCTCGAGCGACCATCTTTTTGTTCAGAGCCCTGCTCGAGCGACGGAATGCTGGCTCGAGCGTAGATTACAAGCTCTCAGGTTTTTGTGCACGCAGACGCACGCTCGAGTGTGCTCGAGCGACGAGACCTATGCTTGAGCGAAGAGCTGTGTCTCACTCTCGAGCGAGCATCAAGCAGAGAATTTCAACAACCAGTACTTTTTGAATTTTTACAGACCGCTCGAGCGACCCCTCTGTTTTGGTAAGCTCGCTCGAGCGTAGAAAGCCACGCTCGAGCGAGACCCCTGTTTCAGCAAAAAAATTGAAAAGTGTTTTAAAGCACATTTTTGCATCCTCATTCCATCCTAGGCATTCCTAGGCTATGTTTAAGGCATCTTAATGAGGATAATGTTATAGAACCACACCGAATCAAGTTAAGGGGCTAAGTTATTAATCTCAAGTGTGTAACTTAGTGTGTGTTCGTTTTGCAACTGTGTATGGTTGGCATCTGAGGACGCTGACTAGCCTGTCTATAGCCCAGTACTCTGTGAGTAACAATGTTGTAAAGATACGTTCAATTATAATTATTTCTGAATGATTGACTGTACTGCTTTCTGAAATGACATTACTTACTAAATGAATGTTTGTCCTATTTATAAATTGTACTCGTGGCATCTATAGCAACTTACTGTTGCTGTATTATTACAGAGCTCTTTATCAGTTCCAATGTTTGAAACTACTACTGTTTACTATTATGATGGCCATCAACTGACTGTTCGGTCTATTAAGACCTATTGTACTGTTTTGTTATTGGACGTACCACATATGACTGTTATGAATTCTAAATGACTGATATGGCATGAAATATGGGCCACTGATTGAATAACTGATTTACTGATGCAAATGACTATTTTAATTAATGAAAGGACATTCATTCTTAACCCCTTTACACATATGTATTCACTGTGCTTTAGCTTACTGTTTATATTTATATGTAGGTGTCCAGACGCCGGACCGGATCTAGGAGCGTCGAGCTAAGCTATGTTTTGTCAAGCCAACCATTGTGCCTCATTTCGAGGTTCCGAGTCCATTCAAGCTAAGGCTGTTTTGGGGTGTTTCAGATTTATCCTTTTGTCTCTGTTTTGTATTGACTGAATAGGACTTGACTGTACAGTTACAGTGAAGGGATTTGGTCCCTAACTTCGATGTTTGTGTATATGACGCATGTATATATGTTTTGGTTATGAATGCGGCTTGTGCATAAAAGTCTTTTTGCTTTCAGGTTTTCACAACTCATTGGACATCTTTTATTTGCTGTTTTGGCATCCGCCAGCCCCTCTACTTTGTATTATTGTCATTACTGTTAAGCAGGCCTTTGGTAATCACGTATTACTGGCCGGTTGCGATGCTAAACCCATGGGGGCGGGTTCGGGTCGTGACAGTTTCCTACACTCGAGCGGGCAAACGCTCAAGCAGCTAATCTTGAGCTCGAGCGATGTCCTTCGTCTGCAAACTTTCTAAAAGTGCGTATTCTGTGCTCGAGCATCACTTCTTGCGCTCGAGCAGACCACTGTGTTTGACGCTCGAGCGTCACTTCTCACACTCGAGCGTACTGCGTGTATATCAGTTCGTAATGAGGTCATTTTACATCACTTTTTCACTTCTCTCTCTCTACTTTTCAAAAACCCTAGATCTG